TACCTACTTTGTTTCAGTCTAATTCTCATATCCTCTTCTGTTATGACATCTATAAATTGTTACATGCTAACGAATTCATCATCATTTTTCCTGGAGCACTGCAGTAAGATAACTGGGCAAGCCTTTCCAAATCTTTTGCAAGTTCAGCTAAGGTATCTTCTTTTCTTTGTACCTTGCTCCAGAACTTTTTGATACTTCCTTCAGATGTGTCAATGTTGATGTTATTTCAATCTCAATCTGATGTGCCTCTATTTCATAGTCCATTGATGTTAGATAAACATGACTGTTTCAGTAAAAGTCTAATGCGAGCATTACGATCTAGATAGTTTATATAAGGCAGTGTCATATTTAGAAGCAGTATTTAATGGTTTGTTTTACAACAGCAAGATTACTGTGTCATGTTGTTGGATCTTTCCGAGTTTCTCTTTGGTTTAATTGAGTACTGCTGCATCAGAATATATAATATTGCATGGAATGTTCTAGACTTTAGTCGGGGTATAAATGCACATCGAAAAATCAATGACTACTAGTTCTAGACTGCGTGATCATGTGTTTAGTGATAAAGTGTATGGTAATGGCGATTTTTAAAGTGAAATTATTACAGACTGTATTTAATAATAGAGAAGAATAATTCGTCTTGTCAATTATGTTTTAAAGTAACTGAACCAGCCCGTGTCGACTTTGATGAAAAAGAAAATTATTTAAAGCTGTGGATACAACTGTGGTAACCAACAGTGTAACGAACATTCGTATATACGTTTCATTTGTTTTTAATACATTATTATTGAAACAAGCAGAATGTGTTGCTGTTTATTTATAGTTGAAATTTATTGCTAGGTCGCAGGAACCGACTGAAAAGAATCCGGCCTTACAAAAACTGACAATTGGTTGATGTTTAACTGTCTAGCTAAATTCTGAAACTTGATTTTGTAGTGTCATGGCTAGAGTAGTTCAAAAAGTTCCTACTTTTACAGATGGCACAGCATTAGTGGTAATAGGTGTAGACCAAGTTGTCCTATTCCATATCTGATGGTGTTTTAGGTTGAAATTCTTGTGTAGACACAGAAAGTTGCAACTGATTTGGTCTTTGTATTTACCAATTATTTTTTCCAAAAGTTTTAATATGTTACAGTTTTACTATTCTGCTTCATGTTATAATTTTTCTGCACAACATAAATGTCTTTTTCTACCACTTCAATTTTGTTATTACAGCCTTTCCGTACTTCTCTTGTAATCTTTATATCTCCAATAGCTTCATTGATCTTATCCTCAATAATATTTATTTTTGTTTCTAATTTTTTCAATATTAGTCTTTTTTTTAACTACTCTTTAAATTCATCTTTTCTTGTTCTTCTCTCAATTGTCTGCCTTTCTTCTATTCTTTTAATTTGCGACATTCTTCTAATTTTGTCTTTTTTTAACCTTTGTTTAACTATTTTAAAGTCTTGAGTACAGATCAGTATTCCTTTATTATCATGTTATCCTCATCCTGAAGTTTAGTCAGTTATACTTTATTTTCAACAATGCAATCCAATTGCTGACAATGTTATATCACTGGGTGGGTTCTTATGCAATATTTGACAAAAAAAATTTTAATTCTCGTGTACATAATGATAATGAAGTAATTTATTTCTTTAATAACGTTTGCGATGTTCACTTGTAGACCTAACTTCAAAAATAATGTTTGAAAATAAACCCCAAAATTAATATATGTGTAACTGAATTATAAGCTAGAAGAATTTCATTAATAACAAATGAACTAACTGAACAGATGCAATAACTCTCACTCTCCAAATCATTAACGGACACTGAGCTGAATTACCAAACACCCATCAACTGAATGACTTACCGAGTCTGGTTTTATATTGTACTCCCATTTTTACATACTACACAAAATATTTGGATTCTTCAGAGATCTTAACTTTCATGACATTTCTAGATATATTGCATTATCATTAAATAATGACAAGCCCCTTCTAGCCAACAATAATTTTGTTTGAATTTAAGCACAAAGCTACAAAATGGGCTCTCTGTTTTGATACGCCCACCATGCGTATCGAAACCCGGTTTCTAGCATTGTAATGCAAGTCCACAGACACACCGCTGTGCAACTAGGAGGCAGCCAACGATCACAGAAATGATTATAAATATACAACTGCCATTTCTATGATGTATTCTAAAATAAAATTTTATTCAATAAATCGTGTATTAGAAAGAAGGACTTAACTAATAATCCAGAGGCCTTACGAGTAGTAAATAACTATAATTCTAATGGTAATGATATCACAAACACTTTTTTAAAAGCCTAATGTGTAATTACAAATAAACCTGTAGTAGAGCGTGGAATCAACATTTTGACATTACTAGTGTATAAAACGACTAATTTTATAGTCACAGTAATCTTCTTCTCCTCTTACATTAAAAAGTGTATTTTCTTTTAGCAAAGCCATATCAGCTGTGTCCACCGAGGGGAATCAAACTTCTGATTTTAGCATTGTAGATCTAAAGACTTACCACTGTCCCACCTGGGTACTCAATAAAAAGTTAAGGAGCACTTTGCTGTTACATATGTCCCTTTTGTACAGTGAAAACCATGAGTATAGTATAGTTCAATGGTATCCACATGTCTGATAATCTAAATGTTGTTGTATATACACTGTTAAACACCATGTGATTGATTGCATCAATATAGTTGTGTTCATATGAAATCATCAATTCAGTGCCAAGAATTAAATGTATGTACCTTATGTTATCTTATACCTAGTTTCTCAGTTTGTCAGATATATATATATATATATATATATATATATATATATATATA